GGGGGGGGCGGCTATTATCTCAATTTAGCTTCAGTCCTGTCTGGGAGGTCTGGAAGGGATTCTTCTCCCTGACAGCCCGGAGATGGAGATGCAGACGCTGAGCAGGGAGGAAAACAGAGACCCATCAGGCCCTGGCCCCCTGCTTTCTGGCTGAGTGACCTTAGGGAAGCAGCCCCAACTTTCTGAGCCCCCGCTCACATCCAGCAAAGTGCCCAGCATATCTGAGTGACCGATCAACCCCCCAAGTGTCCCACGACGTCGTCAGAGAACCAAGCAGGCTTGGCCCGTACCCTCCAAGAATGTCACGGGTAGCATGGACTTGGGGGCCTCACCTCCTCGCTGGGCCTCATTCCAAATGCACCCCTTTGCAGGATTCCCCACAGAGAGACACAGGCCATGACAGTGTGTAGGCAGAAAGGTTTTAGAGAGGTACCTGGTGGTGGCAGAGGGACTGGCCACCCACATGGGCCAGACACAGTGCCTACAAGCCCAGGACAAAAGAGCAGGGTCTGGACTCACAGGGGAGAGCGCTCAAATCCCAGGCCTGCCCTGATGGCTGAGTGACCTTGAGTACAGCCTCAGTTTCCTCACCTGGGAAGTGGGCGGGTAAAACTCACCCAAGGGTCTTCCAAGAAGCACGCTAGTGATGGCACTTAGCAGGTACCTGAGAAATGGTGAGAGAGGAACCCTTACCCTGAGAGGGACCCAGAGTAGAGAGGGGAAGAAAGTGAGGGGAGCAAGAACCGCACCCCATGGCGTTACAGGGGGAGAAACTGAGGCTCGGGTAGAGGAACCGTGTGCCGGCTCTCGGTGTCTCCTGCAGGCGCCCTGGCCCTCCCGGGTCCTGTCCGTGCCTCACCATCAGAATGGGCCATGCACTGGGCACCGTTCTAAGCCCGTTACGGCCCCGTGAGGTCCTCTCGCCCCAGTTTACAGCAGCTAAAGACACTAAGTTCCAGCAGAGGTCACTGGTCAGGGTCTCGAAGTCTGTGAAGAGTCCTGACCTGAGCCATCTGACTCCAGAGCTCTCCTCTCTACAGATGACAGAAAGCAAGATTCGGGGACGGAGGGCTCAGCTGGGTTTCCCAGCTGCCAGTGACTTCCGGCTTGGGGGAATCTCAGTTCATGTCACTGAAAAGATCAGGAATCAATTGAGCTTCTGAGGGTTGGCTGCGGGTTCCGCTAGATCCAGGTGCTTGAGGACATCAGGGTCCCACCTGCTTGCTCCATCTCTCAGCCACCTCCTCCTCCATGTTGGCTTCCTGCTTAGGCAGGTTTTGCCACGTTGCGTCAGGGATGGCTCCAGCCGACTTAGTCCCAGAATTAAGGGTCGCTCGCTGGCTGGAGCCATGAGTCCTCCTCCCAGTCACTGTAGCCGGCAAGATAAACTGCTCTGATGAGCAGGACGTGAGTCAGTCACCCCTTCCTGGAGCCTGCATGGGGCGTGGGGGGCGGGAGGCAGGGTGTCGGCTGTCCCAAGCAACCTTGGTGGAGAGCAGAGGAGAGACGGTTCCCCAGAGAAAGCTGAGAGGCGGGAGGCCGACAGACTCAGGGCCGCAGCGCCATGGCAGAGACCACAGTGGCTTGTTCATGGGTGCAGGGGTGTTTTCTGCAGGGAGGCCAGCGTGCACAAGGCACAGGAAGCGTGGGTGAGCTGGGCTGTTTTCTTTGTGGGACAGGTTGATACGGTGACCGCAGAAGCTGCTGGGTCCCCCCGTGGGCTCTGCAGAGGCCGAGGTCTGCTTCTGCCCCGTCCCTGCTTAGAGCCTTCCAATTGTTGATCTGTGCCAGCAGCCTCTCTGCTTAGGCCCTCGTCAACGAGAAATACCACCTGGACTCCCCAGGGGTCGGGGACTGCACCTGTGCAGGTGTGGGATGGGGGCTCCCCAAAGAGAACTATCCCTGCTCTTCCCGCACCAGCCCCCCATAGCCAGACTGGGCCGCCTGAGGACATACTTATGCCCCACTCCACAAAGCCCAAGAGAACTGCTTCTGGCCTGCCCCCACTCCGGAGCCCTGAGCGCTCAGTCAGAAGGGACCTCAAAGAGCCTGCAAGCACCCTTTCTAAAACGCGGAAAGATACTGACAACATTGCGACGCTTGCACTGAGAACCCCCAGACCATCAGAACAGCGGCAAACACACGCAACGGGAGGAGGTGGCTTCATCGTCTCAGATGTGGCCTGTTTTTCCTTCTTCCTTCTTTTCTTTTCTTTTCTTTAAATTTGCTATGAATGCATGCACTCACTGAACACAGAAAGAGAAGGAAAATGAGACTTCAGCCCCTGACTCCCGGGGATGGCCACACCATAATCCCTCCTCCTCCATTCTCCTCTCTGGATTTTGGGCATGCGCACACCTGTGCCCAGCATGATTTTCAAGCCACCAGGTCCAGGACTCAAACTGCATAGCTGGCCGTGTAGATCCAGCCACCTTAACCACTGTGCCACCTGGCTGGCCTGCGTCTGGTTTCAATACGCAGAAGTAGACAGTCTAGAATGTTCTCCAGTCACCTAGGAATCTAGGCAGGTTGTTCGTAGAACAGGCTCATGGCAAGAGACTCAGAACAGCACCCGTACCTTGCCCACAGGGAGGGCCCAGCCTGGCTGGTTTACCTCCAGGGACACAGGGCTCAGTCCCCTGCGAGGTCACGCCTTCCCCATTTCAGCACACACAGTGCTAAATAGAGTCCTCCAGGGAGAGTGGAAGCCTGCTTTCTGGGGACACCCTCACGCCACCCTGCCATCAGAGCCCATCCCAGACTTCGGAGGGGCCTCGAGAGCCGCAGGCAGCATCGTGCCTGGGGGGGGTCTCCTTAGCCAGGCCTCTCAACCGGGGGCAGCCCTCTGTCATTGTCTGGTCGCTCCTCTGTGTCCCCCCAACCCAGGGTGCATCTGAAAGTCCCTGTGGTTGCACCTCAGCAGAAGAGGGACTCCACCCCACACTGTGGGCACAGCCCAGAGTGTGTATGTGTGTCATGGGGACTGCAAGCACAAGGGGCATGCCTGTGTGTGTACATGTGTGCATGTGCACTTCACATGGGGGGCAGGAGCTGACCCGCACTCCTACAGCAGCACAGAGGGAGGCGTGGCATGGGGGTGGGCAAGGCCAGGCGCAGGGCAGAAAGGGGAGCACCGACGCCCCCAGGGAACCAGGGAGGGTTTCGCCTAGCCAGGCTGGGCCCACGAGGAGCCAACGGGTTAGGAAAGCCTGCCTCGCGGCCAGCGGACTCACCAGGGCCTCCCTTCCCCGGGCAGCACCTCTTCGACAGCATCAAGAGTGAGCCCTTCTCCATCCCCGAGGATGACGGCAACGACCTCACCCACACCTTCTTCAACCCTGACCGGGAGGGCTGGCTGCTCAAGCTAGGTGAGAGGCCGCGGCGACACACTCTCCAGCACACACTCGAGCACACGTGGGCACACGTGCTCATCTCCCTGCATGCCCAGGCACACACGCATGCACACTCACACATGCCCTCAGGTAGAGCTGGGCCTGCCCCTCCCATCCACCCCTCTGTCCTGGTGATAAAGGGGCCAGTGTGGGGTGAGCCTTAGTCATCTGGATGGGGACCTACTGAACGCAGGCAAGCTGCAGGTCCCTTGTCCAGCCCAGCCTTTGCGAGGCTTTCTGAGGAAGCTGAGGCTCAGCGAGGCTAGGGCACTCGCCCAAGTGGCACCCTGTGGAGGCCAGAGAGCTGGGCATCCCCAAGGAGGGGGACGGGGCAGGATGTGGCTTCAGCTAACTGTGGGCAGGGAGGGCCTGCAGAGAGCAACCTGGTGGGTGCTGCCTGGAGGGTGCTGCCTGGAGGGTGCTGCATGGTGGGTGCTGCCTGGTGGGTGCTGCTGGTGGGTGCTGCCTGGTGGGTGCTGCGTGGTGGGTGCTGCCTGGTGGGTGCAGCCTGGTGGGTGCTGCGTGGTGGGTGCTGCCTGGTGGGTGCTG